CCCAGTTGGCCAATATTAGTGATAAATTCCTCTTACCTCACACTGTGTAAATATAAAGTACCTGGATGCCCCAATTATTCTTTATTCACCACTTCCCTGATGCACTTAACCTGTGGCTTATATATAATTGAGCAACAGTAGAAATCCATTGTAATCCTCTAGTGCTGGAGGATAAGGAACTACTTCATAGGCTTACAGGAACTAGAAGAGATTAAATGCAGTAAGATTCTATTATATGCACAGGTCTGATTTTTTTTAATGAGTCAAATTGGGATCATTACATATACATAGTGATTTATAACACCCATCTTGTAAAACCTCCTCCACCAAATCAGATCCTTTGCACTTCTAGATGATATCCAGTTTAAAAAGGAAGCAAAAAGCTAGAATATAACCAGGTCCACAAACAGACTAAAAACCTGTTCACATAAAAAACCCATCTCATTCCATCTGCTCCCAATCATTATATTTTTTTTCCAATATTTTCTTTTTTTAATTTTTTTTAATTTTTTAATTTATTTATTTATTTAATTTTTTAAATACAAATTTATTTATTTTTAGCTTTCAACATTCACTTCCACAAGTTTTTGAATTCCAAATTTATACCCCATCTCCCCCCTCCTCCCACCCCAAGATGGCATGCATTCTGAATATCCCTTCCCCTAGTCTGTCCTCTCTTCTATCTCTCTCCCTTCTCTTATCCCCTTCCCCTTCTTTTCCTGTAGGCAGGATAGACTTCTGTACCCCATTTCCTGTATTTCTTATTTCCCAGTAGCATGTGAAAACATTTTTTTTAAACATATGTTTTTAAAACTTTAGGTTTCAAATTTTCTCTCTTCCTCCCTCCCCACCCACCCTCATTGAAAAGGCAAGCAACTCAATATAGGTTGTACATGTGCAGTTATGCAAAACACTTCCATAGTAGACATGTTGTGAAAAACTAACTCTATTTCCCTTAATCCTATCCTGCCCTCCCATTTATTCTATTCTTTCTTTTGATCCTGTCCCTCCTCAGAAGTATTTGTTTCTGATTACCCTTTCCCAATCTGCCCTCCTCTCTATCATCCCCCTGCTCTCTTGTCCCCTTCTCCCCCTATTTTCCTGTAGGGTAAGACAGATTTCCATACCCAATTGAATGTGTATGTTATTCCCTCCTTAAGCCAAATCCTATGAGAATAAGATTCACTCATTTCTCACCTTCCCCCGTTTCCCCTCCACTGTAAGAGACTTTTCTGTTTTTTTTTGTGATAATTTACCCCATTCTACCTCTCCCTTTCTTCTTCTCTGAGTATAATCCTCTCTCATCCCTTTATTCTCCAGATATGACCCCTTAATCTTCAACTCACCCTGTGCCCTCTATCTATCTATCTACATATGCATACATATAATTTTTTTCCTCCAACTACCCTAATACTGACAAAGGTCTCATGAGTTATAAATATCATCTTTCCATGATAGAATGTAAACAGTTCGATCTTAATATGTCTCTTATGATTTCTCTTTCCTGTTTACCTCTTCATGTTCCACTGAGTCCTGTATTTGAAAGTCAAATTTTCTATTCAGCTCTGGTCTTTTCATCAAGAATGCTTGAAAGTCCTCTATTTCACTGAATGACCATTTTTTCCCCTGAAGGATTATACTCAGTTTTGCTGGGTAGGTGATTCTTGGTTGTAATCCTATCTCCTTTGCCCTCCTGAATATTATATTCCATGCCCTGTGGTCCTTTAATGTAGAAGCTGCTAAATCTTGTGTTATCCTGATTGTGTTTCCACAGTACTTGAACTGTTTCCTTCTGGCAGCTTGTAATATTTTCTCCTTGACCTGGGAACTCTGGAATTTGGCTATAATATTCCTAGGAGTTTTCCTTTGGGGATCTCTTTCAGGAGGAGATCTGTGGATTCTTTCAATTTCTATTTTGCCCTCTGGTTCTATATTCAGGGCAGTTTTCCTTGATAATTTCTTGAAAGATGATGTCTAGGCTCTTTTTTTGATCATGGCTTTCAGATAGTCCAATAATTTTTAAATTCTCTCTCCTGGATCTATTTTCCAGGTCAGTTGTTTTTCCAATGAGATATTTCACATTGTTTTCTAATTTTTCATTCTTTTGGATTTGTTCTACTGTGTCTTGATTTCTCATAAAGTCACTCTTCCAATTGCTCTATTCTAATTTTTAAGGAAGTATTTTCTTCAGTAAGCTTTTGGACTTCCTTTTCCATTTGGCCAATTTTCTTTTTAGGGCATTTTCTCCTCATTGGCTTTTTGGACTCTTTTGCCATTTGGGTTAGGCTATTTTTTAAGGTGTTATTTTCTTCAGTATTTTTTTGGGTCTCCTTTAGCAAGCTGTTGACTTGTTTTTCATGATTTTCTTGCATCACTCTCAGTTTTTCCTCTACTTCCCTTACTTGCTTCTCAAAATCCCTTTTGAGCTCTTCCAAGGCCTGGGACTGATTCATATTTTTCTTGGAGGCTTTGGATGTAGGAGCTTTGACTTTGTTGTCTTCTTCTGGTTGTATATTTTGATCTTCTTTTCACCAAAGTAAGATCTATAGTCTGACTCTTTTTGCTGCTTGCTCATGATCCCAGCCAATTACTTGAGTTTTAAACTCTTTGTTAAGGTAAGGGTCTGCTTCCAATGTGGAGAATGTACTGTCCCAAGCTTCAGGGGTTTGTGTAGCTGTTTTCAGAGATACTTGTAGGGACCTGTAAATTTTCAGTTCTTCCAAGGTGGTATGATAAGGGGGAGGTGTTTACTCCTTTCCTGGCCTGTGACCACAAGTATTCCTTTCTGTCCTGTAACTGTGAGGAGGGTTCCTCTCCACAGCCACTCCAAGCTCCACCATGCCAGCGTTCCTCCTCACCCCAGCACTGCCCCAGAACTGTGACCCAGATCCAAACACGGCAAAGCAAGAGATTCCTGCCTCAGCACTGGCAAAGAGATCCCTGCAGTCCCTCTCTGATCAGCCACTGGATTTCCCCTCAGTCTAAGGGCCGAAGCTCGGGAAGCAGCTGCCCCCCCAGGGCCACGCTCTTGGGGAATGGAGCTGAAACCCCGCCTTCCTCTCTGACCACCAACAGAAACAGACTTTTCCCACTGACCTTCTAAGTTGTCTTTGGCATTGGTGGATTGAGGAGTCTGGAAACCTCCACAGCCGCCCACGATTCAGTCCTCTGAGGCCTGCTCCAGGTTTGCTGTGGCCTGCGTGCCCGTACCGCCCTGCGCTGCACTCCCAGCCCGGCGCAATACACCTTTCTGATCAATCATCCAGGTTGTCTTGGGCTGGAAATTTGTTTCACTCTGTCTTTTTGAGGGTTCTGCTGCTTCAGAATTTGTTTAGAGCCATTTTTTATGAATATTTGGAGGGGTTTGGAGGAGAGCTCAAGCAAGTCACTGCTTTCACTCTGCCATCTTCCCTGTCATTATATTTAATGTATTTCTAAGCATTTGCAAAATGGTTTTATTTTGTATAAATCAAAAGACTTGAGTTGGTCCACCATTTATTACAGATTTCTAGTCTAAATCAGACTAGATACGAACCCTGCTTCCAATGAAGGCTTTATTTAACAAATGGACAAGTCAAACATTGATTAAGCTCTATTATGTACAGGCATGGGTACTAAAAACTGGAGATACAAAAGCCAAAATAGGCCTTGCATTCAGAGAACTCAGAGTCCAAGGAGGGAGACAACATATAAGACTATGTTCAAAGAAGATAGATACAGGATAATTGGGGTAGTCTCAGGGAGGGCACTAAGATTAAGGGGAATGAACAAATGCTTCTTACAGAAGATCAGATTTTAGCTGACACTTGAAGGAAGTCAGGGATGTTACATATAACAATGAATATTTTAAAAACTCAGGTAAAATAAAGTTAAATGAAATCTGCTCTTTTACATAGTTACACTGATATTTTTTAAATAATGGAGATTGATGAAACAAAAAATCTAGGTTTGGTTGTCTGCATAAATGATATATTTAACCATTTTTGGAGGGGCATATGAACTTATGCTGCTGGGTTTTTGGGTTTTTTTTGCTTTTTGGTGAGGTAATTGGGGGTTAAGTGACTTGCTCAGGGTCACACAGCTAGTAAGTGTCGAGTGTCTGAGTTCAAATTTGAACTCAGATCCTCCTGACTCCAAGGACAGAGCCATATCCACTGCACCACCTAGCTGCCCCACTTATGCTGCTTTCAAAATTTTGTTGATATTGCTTAAGCAGTTTTAAAAAGGCAAGCCATTTGCTTTTTTTAAAAAAAGTTTTTATTCTTTTTTGTTTGTTTTGATGTTACTCAAATTTTCTCCTTATTTCCTGCTCTTCTTCTCTCTGGGAGCAATCCCTTATAATGAAGATACATACATACATGCATACATACTTACATACATAAATAACATATGTGTATATATGCATATGTATATGTGTGTATACACATACATACATACACATATACACATACACATACATACATACACACACACACACATATATTTTCTTACTGGGCACAATGATACAAGCCTGTAATCTATGCTACTGGGAAATGACGAGGCTGGTAGATCCATTGAACTAAGAAGTTCTGAGCTCAAGTAGGGCTAAAGCTGACGGGGTGTCCATGTTAAGTGCTAAATTCAGCACCAATATGATGAGCCCCTTGGTATGGAGGGCCATCAGATTGCCTCTGGAAGAACAAACTGGCACAGCTTGTAAGAACAGAGCAGATCAAAGCTTCTACACTGGTTAGCATTGTAACTGACTCATAGGTGGCCACTGTACTTCCAATCTTTGTGAGATAGAGAGAACCAGTAAATTAATCAGTCAATAAAGCTCCTCCTGTTCTTTTTTTTTTAATCAATGGCAACTGTGAGTTTTATGTTGTGTAATTTTCCCATTCCGTGATAATAGAGGAAGGATAACTATGCATTCAATGAGACGTATGAAGCCTAGTATGAAAAACAAACAAACAAAAACTTCTCCAATGAATGATGATTACATGCTTTATGTTTTACAGTAATAAACGACTCGTTGCTTTAGTGCCGATGCCAAATGACACACCATTCCATGCCCGCCGGGCTTACACCAGTGAGGATGAAGCCTGGAAATCCTACCTTGAAAATCCCCTGACTGCTGCAACCAAGGCGATGATGAGTATCAATGGAGATGAAGACAGTGCTGCTGCTTTGGGCTTACTGTATGATTATTACAAGGTAGACAACTTATTCCTTACTACCCAATTTGCTTCTAGGTTGTTTTTTTTTTTATTACAATAAAGATTACACTTGCCTTTTCTCTGCTGCTTCCTTGAGTGCCCATCACTCTGGGCTTAACCTCATATCTTAGAGCTATAAGCTCTATTTTCTTTCTTTCTTTCTTTCTTTCTTTCTTTCTTTCTTTCTTTCTTTCTTTCTTTCTTTCTTTCTTTCTTTCTTTCTTTCTTTCTTTCTTTCTTTCAGTTAAGTGATTTGCACAGGGTCACACAACTAGAAAGTATCTGAGGCTGGATCTGAAGTCAGGTCCTGCTGAATCTAGGGGCTGGTGCTCTATCCACTGTGCCACCTAGCTGCCCTTGTAAGCTCTATTTTCAAGATTTTGCCATGGAGCAATGATGTCCAACTCTGATTTTGTGAAATTGCAAGGTATGTGGGCGGCATGGTTACAGCAGAAAGAGTACTGGTTCTGGAGACAAAGAACTCCACCTTTGATATTTTTTGTCTATTTGACTTTGGGGAAGGCCCTTAACTTTCTTGGGATTCAGTTTCTCTCTTTTTAAAAAAGAGGTGCTTAAGGGTAGCTAGGTGGCACAGTGGATAGAGCTTCAGTCTTACAGTCAGAAGGACCTGAGTTCAAATGTGACCCCAGGCACTTGACACTTACTAGCTGTTTGACTCTGGGCAAATCACTTAACCCAGATTGCCTCACTAAAAAACAAAACAAAACAAAAAAACGTGCTTAGAAGAAAGCCTCTGAAGTCCAGCCTTAGGTCCATGTTCTATGGTATCTTTAGTCGTTTTAGAAAGCTCTCACAACAAAGATGTAGTTACCTTTAATTTTTTTGAAATCACCTCTCATAAATACACCATACAGCACGTTTAGGAGAGGAGGAGGGTGTGTTATAAAGTAAATAAGCAAGGATAGATTGTATAAACCACAAAAAGCAACATCTGACACAGTTACAGAGTCCTAGAGCTGGAAGCTACAATGAGACCCTTTTAGTCCAAATCCTGCATTTTACAAATGAGCAAACTGAGGCATAGAAGAGTTAAGCAACTGGCACTTTCTTATAGAGAAGAGAAGTATTAACACATCTAAAAAGTTTTTATAGGGGGTCCAAGGAAGAGAACTGAGTGGTAGGAGATATCCTACAGGCATTGCTTGAAGTAACTTTGGTTTGATCTTGGATCTGTAGAAGTAGAATGTAACTGGTTTTACATTGTTAGTTTGGCTGGATATATCACTTAAAAAAGATAACATGGCTAATTAGGTTATAGTTCCTTCATGGAATCATGATGAGCTTTAGAGACCAGAAGAACCACAGCCACTTGAACCCAACTGTCTCCCCAACCCACATCAATAACACTCATGTTGCTTTCTGCATGGCCAATGGTTGCCACTGCAATATCTTATCCAAGCCTACTATGTAACCCATGCTCCAAAATTATGCTAACTCTTCTTCTCTCCCCACTCTGCATATTTTCATTTCCTTCCCAGGGGCTGAGCTCAGCAATATGTTACAGGGAAAGTAACGTGATCAAAATAAGTTCAACAAAGGCGTGGAATACGGTTTATGGCCCCATTGTAAAACTGCATTTTAGAAGAGAAGCTTATTAACACCCTCCTCCACCACTACCAAAAAAAATGTCTGGGGAAGACATTTTTGAATAAAGGATCTTTTGGTGTCCATTTCATGCTCTAGTTTCCCCCCTACCCCACCAAAAAAAATTGAGGTCAATATCTTTCCACCTTACTACTAAAAGTTTGTAATAGACCCTTGGTATAGCTAGTCAGGAATTTATGTTATGAGTATATCAAAGTTATAAATAGAATTTAATACAAAATTCTGTTCTAGAATGTAGGTTATATTTTCTGAAAGACGTCATCTCTTCCATATTGAATAGACAGTATTTGGGAACATTCTTGAAATATAAAAAAATGATTTGGGGGTATAGTCTTTTTTCCCCTTGTTGAATGAAGGGGCTAAATAAATAAAGAAAATGACAATACTTTAACTAGTCTTGGTGCAGAAGAACAGTTGATAGCAGTTTAGCCTGCTTTTTGTGTCAGAGTATTTATTGTCATTTGAAGCTTTGTAGAAACTAAGTGGAATATAATTCACATATGTACTTTATACTAAGATATAAGCCAGGGACGGGGAACCTGCAGCCTCAAGGCCCCATGTGGTCCTCTAAGTCCTCAAGTGAGGCCCTTTGACCAAATCCAAACCTTTTGTATTTAAAGGGCCTCACTTGAGGACCTAGAGAGCCACACGTGGCCTTGAGGCTGCAGGTTCCCCATCCCAGTTACAATCTCTTCAGTAGTTTTTTTTCCCTGCTTTCTTCTATATTCCTCAATGACCTACATTTCATTGATTCTTCTTCTTCCTTCTCTTTTTTCTCTTCCATTTTCTTCTCCTCTTTTTCTACCTCTTTCTCTTTTCTTCTTCTTTTCCTCCTCCTTCTTCTTATTCTCTTTCTCTTCCTTCATCATCTCCTCCTCCTTCTTTCCTTTATGAAAACGGTTATCTCAGCATCATTCACAGCTCCTTAATTAATAAATCCTCAAACCTTCTTGGCCCTTCGGCAGCAGTTGGCACTGTGAAACCACCTTCCTCAGTCTTCTCTGTGATTCTGTTCCCAGAGGATCTCACAACTGAAAGGAATTCCATGCCCCATTCGATCCAACCCATTCCTGAACTAGAATCCTTCTATAACATTCTTGACACGTGGTTATCCAACTTTTGCTTGAAGAGCTCTAGTAAGAACAAATTCCAAAATTACCCATTTCCCTTTTGGATAATTCTGTTTTTCTTACAATAAACCTAAATCTGACTCTTGGAAAATTCCACCCATTGGTCCTAGTTCCAGAAAATGTCTAACCCTCTTCTATGTGACATTAAAGATATTTATCGAAACCCTCTCACGTTTTCTCTTTTCTGGGCTAAACACCCCTAGGTCAAGTCTAGGCAATGTGTATTTATTTAGTGCCTATTGTATGTGAGGGGCTGAGCATACAAATAGAAAAGCAATGCCTGGCACCACAGAATTTACATTATATTGATATAATATACATTATATTATGTTATATAGATACAACATGTAAAATGATAAGTTAATACGTAATAACTTCAGGAGGGAGAGAACTCTCACAAGAATGGAAATCCAAAAAGACTTTCCATAGGAGATGGTGCCAAATTTTGAAGAAAGCAGTATAAGAGAAGGGGTATTGTACTCCATCCATTGGGGGAATCACCTGTACAAAGGTACCAAAGTGGCAGAAATAGCAGATATAGCATTTTTAATATATTAGCTCATTAAAGGTTCATACAAACTTGTGAGGTTGGTTCTCTAGGTATTATCAGTATCCCTATTTTATAGATGAAGAAACTGAGGCTGAGAATTTGAGTGACAGTCATTTCATAGGCAGGATTCAAGTCCAGGTCTTTTTTTAATGGTTTTATTGATTTCTTTGTTTTTACATGACTTAGATTTTCCCCTGTATCACTCCTAGCTCTACCCAGAAAGCCATCTTTATAACAAAGAATTCAAAAAAAAAAAAGAAAAGAAAAATGGAAGAATAAAAAAAAAGATTCAGCTAAACCAATCCAATGTATTGAAAAAAATCTGACATTAAATTTGACACAAGTGGGAGCCTCTCTTCCCATTACTTTTCTTTGCATGTAAAGAAATGGTAGGAGATAGCTTCTTATATCAATTCTTTTGGGCTAAGCTTGTGCTTTGTAATTTTGCAGCATTTTTTTTACTGTTTTGTGTTTATTCTTTCCATTTACATTGTTGCAGTCATTGTATATATTGTTTTGTTGGCTCTGCTTCCATTTTTACCAGTTAATACAAGCCTGTGAGCATAGATTTTTGTTTGTACAAAAACTTTTCAATTTCATGTAATCAAAATTATCTTTTATCTTTTGTAATTACCTCTATCCCTTGTTTGGTTAAGAATTCATCTCTAACCTATAGCTGTGAAAATATATGACTTGCTTCTCTGCTATTGTGTATGTGTTTGTGTGCATGCGTATTATATTTTCTAATATTCAGGATGCATGTACCCATTTTGAATTTATTGTGAAATATGAAATAAGTTATTGGTCTATGCCAAGAGTGGGGGGCCTGCATCCTCAAGGCCACATGTGACCCTTTAGGTCCTCAAGTGAAGCCCTTTGGCTGAATCCAAACTTCACAGAACAAATCCCCTTAATAAAAGGATTTGTTTTGTAAAACTTGGACTCAGCCAAAAGGCTGCACCCAAGGACCTAGAAGGCCATATGTTGCCTTGAGGCCACAGGTTCCCCACCCCTGGTCAAAGCCTTATTTTTGCCAGACGGCTTTCCTAGCAGACCAAATAGGGAGCTCTTTTCTAAATAATTTATGTTATTAAACATTGGGTTATTTAGTTTCATTAGTTCTGATCTTTCCTTATCTTATTTGTCCCATTGATCTACTTTTCTATTTATGAATCGATACCAAATGGTACCAAGTCTTCTTAACTCTCAAATACAGCACCCTTTCTAATACACCAGGAACAGTAAATAGGACAGTTGGTTACAACACTGAATGCATGAAAGAGAATAATATGAGATATGTCCAGAGAGGTGGGCTGAAGCCATATTGTAAAACTTTAAATGACAAATGGAGGAATTTGTATTTTATCCTAGAGTCAGTGGGGAGCCGCTGAAGCTAAAGAGGGACATGTCAGACCTATGAATTAAGCAGATGTGTGGAGGATGGACTTTTTAAGGGAGAGAGATTAGATCCAGGGAGACCTATTAAGAGACTATTGCAATAAGTTCAGGTGAAAGGAGATGAGGGCTGGATCAAGGTTGATTGTCACGTGAGTGAAGACTAGGGAACAGAGAGAAGGTATAACGTTAAGTATAGAATCAACAAGATTTTGATAATCTGGCAATTGATTATTCTTTTAACCTCTCATGTTTATCCTCCTGAGACTATCTGCCATTTCCCTGACAGCTACTTCA